TTAAATATCCAAATATAAATGTTATCAGTTTTGTAATTATTGACTGACAGCTGATTAATATATGACATGATTACACATACACTTAATTATTTATATCACCTGGGTATTAATGAATTAAGTAAAATAATTTTGTTGGATATACATAAATTCATATATTTATGTCAAAGATACTATCATTATTAAATACCATATTAAATAAACTGCCAACCTCTATCATAAGTTTATTACTTTATAAAGTTCATAATTTTAAGTAATTGATAAAATAGTATATAAGATTTTTAAAATGATATAAGTTATTAAGTCTATTTAATAATTTAAAAATGTTAATTTAACAGTATTTCTGTATTTATAATAATGTTTATTTTGTATAATTATATTTAAACCGTCAATAAACTGATACTTATGTAATGGAAACTTTTGTATAAAAATTAAAATATTTTACTTTCTATAGCAATACAGAAATTTTTGCATTATCTGCAGTTTTATGATTGACATTTTATATCAAATGTAAATAGTGAATTGATAATTTTTTACTTATTAGTTTAAGAATAAAGAAAATTTATATTATAGTAATAATTATTAAATTAAAATAAATGTTTAAAAATCTATTTAATATCCAAACTGCTATTTATTGATATCATACTAATTTAATAAATAACTAAATTAAAAACTTTAACATGTTCCAAATTTTTAATAAATAAATATACTGCTATAATAAACTAATAAACTATTAATAATATTTAAATTTTATTATATAATTTAGAATAATAGTCGAAATATTGAAGGTTCAGTTTTTGCAATACATTTCCATTTATGATCAACTTGGTCCTCTTTCCATTCAAATTTATCACTTTCACATTTACACTCATAATGCAACTTGGGCTTATCTTTATCTGTTGCTTGACATTTAGCATCTTTAGCAACATGTTCGCCCGAGCATTGAACAATTTTCAAATCATCCAGGACACATGGGTCATTTATGTCAATAGTGTCCAAGCTAAATAATGATTTACCCATGTTCAAATAAGTTACTTCCAATCCAATTTTAAAGTAGTTAACATTGGCGCTTTTAATTGTAATTGTCTCCACCACTGGCTTAGTAAATGAATCTTTGTCCTAATTTTATGAATACAAATTATACTGTAATTAGCATGATAATTTTAATTATAACAAAGTAATTTTACCCCGCCCAATACCGCGGCTCCATATCTGTTTTTGGATGTATAGACTGCGTTCAATGACTCATCAAACGCCACAACTCTGAACACAAAACCGTCTTTATCTTGAGATTTGAGATTAAATCTGATTTTGTTTGCATCGCTTTTCTCTATCCATTGACTTATAAGCCAACCTTGGTGCGGTATATTCCCTTTGGTTGCAGCTAGCATAAAATACTCAATGTTATTAAACTACATTATAATGTTATAAATAGACTGGATTACTTTTAAACTCAATTTTATCTTTCAGAAAATTCCAGTTTTCTTTTACACCATATACGATAGGCCATTGTTTATCATAATTATTATTAGCTTGCAACAAATACGAACTTGTTAATATTGTTCTTGGGTATGACTCAATGCTATTTGTTGGGACATTTATAGCTACTTGTAGATCTTGTTCAGTTTTCTCCAAGAAATCAACTTCGAACGAGATATCAAATGCTTTTTCTCTAGATTTAACAAGGTCAGATACACATATCTGTTGCTTATTCCATAGTGTGTCATCAGCTTGTCGCATTAATTTAAATGCAACTTTGTTGGCGTATTTAACGTATAGGTTTGTCTTGTCATTTTTGTAATAATTTAAAGTAAAACACACATCATCGACATCTAGCACATTTTGGAAGTGTATTTTTGCTATATCTTCTACTTTACTGGGTGAATATAAGGGGAAAATTTGTGTTTTATGGTCAAGTTGTAAACTATTCCACCAATGCGGCGATGCTAGGTCAAATATGGGACATTTATCCTTATTGTCAGTACATGAAAAAGTGGCATCCTTGTAACTATGTTTTTCAACGCACCTAGTTATTAACATAAATAGTTATTAATATAGTTAATATATAGTTATTAATATAGATAATATAGTTATAAATATATATATTATACATATAATTATAATGCTAAAAATTTTCAATTGTGAAACATACTGTTTGTCCTGCACGTATTCATTAAATTGTGACACCGGACAACTACATGAAAGTGTACTAGTTTGTGACACCACACAATATGTGTCATCAAATGTTTTGGGATTCAATGTAGGGATATTGGGATAGGCACCACAAGTTTTATCACGATCCTGAAAAAATTAATTTAATTCATTTAATAACTTATATAAATAAATTATAAATAATATTAAAATTTACCGTTTCATCGCACAGTTTTTTATCGCACTTTGGACCACTATAAGTTTTATCAGTACAGTCACACCTAAATAAACTGACATCCCCGGTATGCGAACAAGTACCATGTTCAGAGCATTTATTTTTATCGGAACATGGATCATAAACTGACATGGAATTTATATTAATTTCGTAATCTTTTTCAGCGTCATCAGTTGGCGTTAATGCGAATTTGAAAAATATTTTGAAATATTTGACATTTGCATCGTCAATTTTAATTGCAATATCATAGGCACTAGCTTGAGGGGCTGTTATTTCAATTTTATCAGCCAGGTCAGGTAATCCTGGTTTATTTTCAACAACGATTCCAGTGTTAATAGCAAGTATACTTTTGTCAATTCCCGGACTAGTTGAAATGGTAATTTTGTGATCTAAGTTTGTCATATCGTTTTTCGCATTTATCCAATCGCTCACAAAATATGCTTCATGTGTTTCCCCTTTTTTGGCTTTAACTACTGTATATATATAATGATAAAAAAGGTATTAGTATATTTTAATTATAATTTTTGATGTACCGATCAAATGATATATTTAAATTGGCTTAATTATTACTGTATAAAAATGTTTTAATTTATTTGAAAAATTTGAAATCGGAGTTTACGGATATCATTTGATTACTGGGTTTACAAATTAATTATGCAATATTTTACCTTTTAATGTGTACAAGTTATTAGAAGAATTTTTGACAAATACATTGGTAACCTCTTTAAATGAATGCCACTTTTGGTTAAATTTAGTTTTATCAACAGTTGCCCAATCGTCAATAAACTGAACATTGTCAGCTACAATTTTCTCGGCATTTACAATAAACGAGTTAATTGTCAATGAATCTTTGTCCCAAAAAGGTTTAGTAGATTCTGAGTTAATTTTAATGGTAAAACTTCTTGATGGTTTATAAACCAAATCACGTATACAATATTTAACTGATTTCCCATTTACGGCAACTTTTACAGCTTCTGATTTTAAGAAATCTACTTGCTTACTATCGCTGCCAATATAGCTAATTGTTAAATGATGATCGGTTTCCTTATTTTTAATTGTGTAGCCAAGAGTGAAACATACGTCAATTGAATCAGTAATAACATTTTTAAATGTATATGTTAAAGAATTTCCAGTTTTAGTTGGATAATATCCTTTTGCATCTTGGTCAAATTTCCAATCTTGTAGTATTGGAACTTCAATTGTTTTACATGTATCACTAATTATTAAAAATGTATTAATTACTTGTGTTAAAATGTAAAATATTAAAATTACCTATCCCAAATAATTTTATCCTTATTATTACAAACACATGCAAAACTATTCTTGATGCTGTCCTCATAACAATCTAAGTTGTCTAATTTTGAACAAAATTCTTTACCAGGTTGCTATTGAATAAAATAAAAATTTATTTTATAAAAAGTAAATGTCAGTTATAACATTAAAATTACCTTATCAGCACAATAATGTTGAAGTTCACATCTAGGATTTTTAGGATTACCATAATAACTCGGTAAGCATTTACACACATTGGGCAGGTCTTTGGTGGGGTCGGCTGCACTAATATTTGTGCCCACTTTACTACACCGTAAAGCTTTAACAGTAGGTCCATAGGTGGGGTCACCAAAATTCAACAACTTAATATCAAACTCAACTATGTCAGTTTTTATAAAATTTTCCGGTTTAAAGTAGTCTACGAAAAACATTAGCCTGACATAATTTGCCTCAACAATTGGGTCAAAATTAAATGTGTAAACGCGTGTTGTCTGGTTCGTGTCCGGGGTGATTTTAAGGGTATTGACATCAAAACATTGCGACAAATCGGTGCATATTTTGGGTCGGATTGTGAATGAGTTGAATATTTTTTCTTCTTTAACGGTCACACTATACTCGGCCAATCCGTTTGGACCTAGAGTCGGGCTATTTTTGACCCAGGGTCCTATTAAGTATGCACTTGTTGCTGCCTCGTTAATATTTGCGCCGCCTAGACAATTACATTTTTGTAAAAATGAATTATATTTGTTTCTGAATACTAGCTTAGCATTTTAAATAAATAAATATTAAATAACAATTAATGTATATGATTATAATAATATCAAACTGACCAATTAACTTTGGTTTAATATTTTTTCAATATTGAGTTTTAAGTCAAATTAAAGGAAAATTAACTAGTAAGTTTATCATTTAGTTATTTATTAAATTTATCAGATTATTCAATTTTGTTAATTTGATTTTAAAAATAATAACTAATAAAATAAATTATAATAAATATTATAAATACCAGTAAAATGAAATTGGTCAACTTTTAGCTCAAACTCGTTTGTTGAACTTCTGGTTTTCCAATCGTCATTAAATTTGCTAATAAAATTTTTGGCTGTAAATGACCATGCACTGGATGAGGTTTTTTGCTCAATGCTTAATGCTAATTCATATTTAAGCAACTTGATAAAAATCCAGTTTATCAAATTACCGTGGACGAATTAAAACAAAATGATGTTTGTTTCGATGTTCAGTATTTTGCTACTAAAGAGTCATCATTGTCAATTCATTATAATTTAGATCAAACAAAATTTGCCAAGTCCACAAATAAAATGCATACCATAATGACCAAGGTTAGCCAGACTGATAAAAATGTAGTTAAACGATCAATTTGTTTAAGGGAATTGATTGCATTCAGTGCAAGTAAATTGCAAATAACATTCGTTGCTAATGTTGCTAATGATGATGAATTAGCATTAAGCATTGAGCAAAAAACCTCATCCAGTGCATGGTCATTTACAGCCAAAAATTTTATTAGCAAATTTAATGACGATTGGAAAACCAGAAGTTCAACAAACGAGTTTGATCTAAATTATAATGAATTGACAATGATGACTCTTTAGTAGCAAAATACTGAACATCGAAACAAACATCATTTTGTTTTAATTCGTCCACGGTAATTTGATAAACTGGATTTTTATCAAGTTGCTTAAAATCGGTTGAAAAGCAATCTTTATTGTAATCTTGACCTTTTTTAATAAGACATGCGGTGGTGATATCGGACCGAATAGGTGCTAATTTGTACGAGGTTAGTTCTTTGGTTAAATAATATACTTGATTAGATATATTTCCATAATTATTTCCTGTAGTCTTATCTTCATACTGATAGTCAACTAAAAGTAATAACAATATAATAATTTTAGGAATTAATAAAATTTAAAAATTCTAATTGCATTAAAATTTATTAAATTTTTATCATTACGTCTAATATCCTTGAGTGCAATGATTGACTTTTTCCCTAATGCGGCATTAAAGTCATAATTAACTAACTGCTCCTTGGTCAATATGTACTCTCGGTATAACCAGTACTTTTCGAAATTTTTATACTCATCCGATATATAGTCTTCAAAATAACCTTGCGTAACTTTGTCTATATCCACGGTGACCACATTTCTCTCATAAGACCAAAACTAAAATATGATGTTATTTTAAATTTATAAGCAAAATAATTATATTTAAATTTAGCAACCTTAAAACTTAATTTAACCGGGTATTTAACAATTTGTTTCGGATCGGACAATAAATCGGCTTTCACTTTTTCAAAACCATTTTCATTAGGTTTAATAAAGAAAAAGTTTGTATGTTGCTTGTTAATACTGTCCTCATTATCCATATACGGCCAATTGTTTGCCGTAATTTGTTGCCAACCCTGGTCAATTTGATAGTCCACTAAAATAAAATTTGACATACATTAATATTAAATTGATATTTTATAATTATAAAACCTTGTGATGGTTCGGGTGTGGGTGTAGTCGGCGGTGTAGTGGAGGGCCCTGTATATGGTTCAGGTGTAGGTGTTGTTACCGGGTGGTCAGTAAAATCATCAGGTTGCATTTGAAATAGGTCTCGGTTTTGGTAGTTATTGCAGTCAACGTGTATTAAGTTAGTTGACGCAGTCGGGTGATTTCCATCGTATATCCATGCAACTGATGTTTCAGCTAGCCATGTACATTGTATTGTATCGTGGTCAAGGTATATTTTGATTATAGCGTCCTTTTCACCGTATTTGCCAAATGGATCCAGGGGTAATTTGTCAATCTTATTGTCATTTAAATATACTTTAGTAACTTGTGGTTTAGAATTAAATGTGTTAGCGAGTCCAGATTGTTTCAATATATCCACATTAATTTTACTATTGCCAAGGTACACAGTTAATGGATTTTTTGTTTTAAAACTCAAACCATCCTTGATAATTTCATTAATTGTGTTACCTTCTAAATTGACTAAGGTCAGTGTTTCAATCCCTTGGAAATGAGTAGTTTTGGCAATTTTGGTAATCTTATTGCTTTTCAATGATAAACTTTGCAATGATGTCAATGTTGCCAATTCGGGAACGCTATCTAGTTCACAACTAATTAATTCAAACGACGTAATTTGTGCTAGTTTAGGTTTTAATACGATGTTTTCAAGTATGTCGTTAACCAAAATTTTAGTTTTGTTATCGTCCTTATGGACATTAGTCAATGATATTTTCGCGAGTACCTCGACAATATTTGCGGTAAATATTTTAGCAAAATCATCCAGGTTAGAATCTTTAATTGTTAGGGCCTTAGTTTTTGCCTTGTTCAAATTGATCGTTGCCGGATTTTCGAGACCCTCGAGTACTATTGAATCAAATGTAACTTCATTCTGGAGGTCCGTAAAAATGGTGGTTTTCGGACCGCAATATAATTTGGCGGTGTTTGGAATGCACGTGCATTCGCCCAACTCGTCCAATGTTGGGCATTCTAATGCGGCACCTGTCAGGCCAAATGCCCATGCTACTTGCACTAACACTAGTAGCACTGATAGAAAATAAATATTTAAACTATTTAAAATATCTAATTGAGAATACTAGTATAGGCTATATTATTTAAAATTAATTACAATTAATATTTTGTAAAATTTTTAATAAAAAATATAATAAGTTTATTATTTTATAATTAGCAATTATGTAGTAAAGGGTGTTAATGAAAATTAGGTAAGTTAGCATATAATAAACAATATTTAAATATAGCGGACTTTCGCAACTTTATACTGTATATAAGATTTACATGATTTCGTAATTATATTTGTGCAGAACCTGTATTTGAATGTAATCTATGTTCTCATACACTCATTAGCAACCAATGAACAGGGTATACCAGTACTAGTAAATTAAATATTTTCATATTGAAAAAATATTGTTATAATTTATTTAGTAAATTAGATTATTTTTATAAAATGTCTTTAAATATAATAATAAAATATTTTCTAGAAATATTATTTATATTAACTATTAAAATATTAATAAAATATAAGCAATGCAATATAATTTACCTTTCATATAAATGTAATTATTAATTTATTATTATATATAAATTAATTTTTCACTAAATAAAATATTTTAAAAACTCAATTTAACATTTAACATTAAAACTTTTAAAAATGTAACTCATATACTAGTACCATTACTACCATGTAATGAATGTTAAACTGATAATATATAATCTCCCACTTAATATCTGAGTAGTATTAGCCCCTCAAAGTGAAATTTAGTTCACATAGGTCTTTATGTGTGTGAATTGATCCGTGTGATTTAATCTAAGGTTATTGAAAATATGTGATACAGTTTATGATAGCTGGTTAATTGTTACTATACTCGAGTATGTTACTTAACTAATTTATTAATTTGTGACACTAATTCTTATAAGAAATAGTTTTAGGATGATTTATTTTTATATTAATTTTTTTGGTAAGATCCTTGTAATAAATAAAAATTTTGTAATAATATCAGGATACTACATAAAATAAAATTTAATAACAATGATATTAAATTAATGCTTTATAATAGATAATTTTCATAATTGACCAATTATTCATAGTTTGACCAGGGCATATGTGCTTTGCGTTTGTCATATTTTAACATGCACAATTTAAATTAAAAACAAAATTAATGAACCATATATTTCTCAATAAGTTTTCAGTAATCAGTTGTGAAATTTTCATAATCGTAAGTATAACGGTTTAGGTATAATTTAGTTGTAATTGTGGGTTTTATATTGGGACGACCTTATATAAAAACCTTATATAATGACTTCAAATAATTTCATTTATAATACTATATTATTAATATACAGTATATCGCCCTTTAACTTATATTATATCAATATTGTATAAATTTTATATTATCTTGATTATAAAATAAACAATATAAATTTATATAAAATTCTAATTAAAAATAAAGTACAATTATTTTGAAAAACAATTTATTAAAAGTAAATATAAAATTTGAAAAATAATATATTAAATTTTAGTTTATTCTAATTAATAAGGTATAAAATAAAATATTATAACTTTATAAATAGATTATTTAAAATTTTATATGTTTAAACTATTAGTTAGATATAATTAATAATATAATTAACTAAATAATTTAAAATTTATTCTTACCTTTCATTTATGTATGTATACCATACGCTCGTGCCATAAAAATATATTTAAAAATAAAATCACAAACAGATTATAATATTAATAAAAATATTTTATTATATATATTTTACTTTAGTTTTTATACTACCACATAATAAGTTTAATATAAAAGTTCGAGTATTTTACTGATACGGTAATCAATCACTTATAATCACCCACTTAAAAGTGAAATTCATCATTATTGAAATTGATTGGTGATAATTGGTATTATTTATTCAAACAATAGTACGTAGATAAGTGAAATAGTTGTCTAAAAAATATTTAATGTTTATTTTAAAAATAAAACATATTATTTTAATATTTAATACAAATAATTAATATAATTATATAATGTTACCTCAAATTATATATTTGATTATATTTTTAAAATTCAGGTATTTCAACTAATTATTACTACTATGAAAAGCTAAAATAAAACACAATTTCTGTTTACATGTGTAATAGGATGTGAACTTAGCATATTGCATAAATATTTTGATTGGTACTAAAACAAACTATGTTATATTCTGAAATTAACTTATATCGTTTAAAATGATATTTATAATCAAATATGTTTCACTGGTTAAAATTAATATTGTATTTATTATCTTCAAATCTATAAACCTGACTTATTGCATATGATTTTTACCTGAACATTTTTATAAATCGTGACAAAAATATTTAACCAAAATTGTATTATTTATATAATTTGATCACAAATATTTTATTTTAAAAACTGTCGTGATTCACTTTTTATCATTCGCTTATCAGAATTGTTATGTAGTTAGTATTCTCATTTAATACATAGGTCAAAAACAGTACTATATTGTTGATAATAGACAAACTTAGATATCAGGATTAAATTTGGCTCCATATGTCTACGTAAATAGTTAAAGATTTAGTTAGTATTAATTTGATATTGAATTATGATTTTCAATAGCATTGCGATATTATTAAAATAATTTATCAAATATCATATATACCGGTAATATCAATACATAAAAAACAGTCCATATAATTTTTATGATAAATTAAGGTACTGTATACTATTAAACTTAGTTTTATTAAAGTCACACTGCTGGCCACAATAGTAGTTATTTCTATCTAATGTTAAATTGTTCAAAGTTTTAACATTAATAATCTAACCCTTATTGACATTTTAATAATTGTAAAAGTATAAATTGATATCGTATTTAGTAAGAGCTTAAACGTAATAAATGCTCATTATTATCTAGGAACATAATGCATATCAATATTATTTAAATTATTTCATACTGGTATTGCAATTATATAAATAGAATAGTGTTATCTATTAGTATCTCTGATGATATCCGGTTGTAGTTGTTTATAAAATATCAGATATCGAAAAAAGTTATGTCAGTAGGACCTGGTTAGTTAAAGTTGATTTATTCCTAACCCAATTTTTATAAAATAAATATTTCTAAACCTCAACTATGGTTTTTTGTCGTACGCATACCCCCGAAGAGACAACATGATTCGAGCACCGGTAGCTCAGCACATGTAGGTTTTCTAAAATATTCTATATCTTACAAACTACAAGGCACATCTCCACAATCGATAGCTCATTTGAAAGAGCATTTAAAAGTAGGAAATACATCAAAAATTATTTTGTCCAGATATCTATATTTAGTGGCCAGGGAGGTCCAGTATGTCTAACATTCTGACTTTTAAAAATTTATAGAATCTAAAAGGATAGGAGTTCTGAAAAGTTATGATATGGAAAATGTAGATAATTTAAATCTCTATGAATTCCTAATTTAGTAAAATTTTTTCATAACGGCACCGGGAGGAATGGTAGGTATTTTATTGTGACTCTACTTCAAGTCATTAAGTA